TTTGAGATGGCAGGAGGAGCTGGCTTCTCTTGCAGGTCTCAAAGATGCACTCATAACAGGTATGGAAGCTGAACTTACAGAAGCAGAGTGCAAATGGTGATTGCCAGTGTGGCAAGGGTGGAGAGGTCCAGATTTAGAGATGTGTTGGACAAAATGTATACATTTTATTTGTACAGGAAGAACAGGTTTCTTAGATCTATTGTACAATTCGATGGGCATGTATAGTAATAACACACATTTTATTATTTCTAAGAGACAATGACTTACATTATTGTTTTGCAACATAAGAGTAAGTATCTGAAATATTTTTATCTTATTATTTATTCATTTATTTTTTTGTCTTTGAGATAGGGCCTCTCTATGCAGTTCAGCCTTGAGCTCACATTGTAACCCAAGCTGGTCTCAAACTCATGAGCTGGGGTTACAGATGTGTGCCACCACACCTGGCCTGCGAATATTTTATCTTTGACAAAGGAGCTGAATCTTTTCACTGGAGAAAAGGTAGTCTTTAGCAAATGGTGCTGGGGAAACTGGCAATCTATGTGCTAGAGACAGAATCTAAACATACATCTCTCACCATGCACTGAACTGAAATAAAAATGGATCAAAGATCTAAATATTAGAACAGAGACATTTACTCTGTTGGAAGGCAAAAACACTTCATGACATAGATGCAGACAGATTTTTTAAAACAGATCTCCAGATACACAAAAATAATCCCAACAATCAATAAATGGAGTCATGGCAACTTAAATAGCTTCTGTGCAGCAAAAGAAATGACCAACAGAATGAAAAGATAACTTACATGGGAAAAATTTTGCCAACTACTCCACAGATAAAAGACTAATATGTAGAATATACAAAGAACTCAGAAGAATTAGGACCCAATACTTAAAGACTTGAATCAAAACTGAGCATTCAAAGTGAATAGACACCTCTCAGACAAAGTAGTACAAATGGCCATTAGATACACGGATTAAAAAAAATATCAAAATAACTGACCATTCAAGAGATGCAAATTAAAAACAAATTGAGATCCCATCTCACTCTAAAAAGTATAGTTATTGGGAGCTGGGGAGATAAAACGGAAGGGACATCTTTTTTTATTTTTTATTTTTTTTCAGAACCGGGGATTGAAGTCAGGCCCTTGTGCTTACCAGGGAAGCACTACTTATTCCACTGAGCCATCTCCCCAGCTGGGAGCTGGGGAGATAACTCAGCGGCATAAGCACCTGCCTGGCAAGCACAAGGTCCCAATTTTGAGCCGCTGAATTGGAAAAAAAAAAAAAAAAAAAAAAAAAAGAGAAAAAGAAAAAAGAAAGCGTAGTTATTATCTAGCAATCAGCCAATAATATATGCTGGGCGAGGCTGTGGGGGCAGAACTTCTTCATTGCTGGTGGGAGTATAATCTGCTACAACTGCTATGGAAATCAGTATTGGGATCCTCAAAAACACTAAAAATAGAAATTCTTTTCTTTTCCCCCCCAGTTATGTATGTGGTATGGGTCTCACTCCACAGCTCAGACTCATAGTGATCTTCCTATTTTCAGCCTCTCCAGTGCTGGATTTAGGCGTGTGCCACTATGGCTGGACTAGTTGGCCAGCTCAGCACGTCTGGGGTCAGGGGCCAGTGGGGTATGTGGTACTGGGGATCGAATCCTGGTCCCTGTGCTTGCCTAAGCAGGTGCTTAATCTGCTGAGCTATCTCACCTGCCCTAGAAATTCCATTTGGCCTACCTATTTCTCTTCTAATCTCAAAGAGTTAATGATATCACACCACACCTATATTTATATAAAATATATAGCACCATTCATAAAAGCCGAAGCAGCTTACATGTTCATCATCAGATGAAGAGGTAAAGAAAAGATTTTTAGATGATAGAATGTTACTCTGTCATAAACAAAGATCAAATAGAGTTATTTGTAGAAAAGTTTGTATGTATCTGGAGATCATAGAATTAAATAATTAAACCAGACACATAAATTTAAATAATTACATGGTTTATCTTATGTAAAAAAAAACCCCTCACTGTATTAAAAAAACTCAATATGTTAATAAATTGAAAAATAAAAATCAGGTCATAGGAAAAAAGAGCAAAAGAAAAAAGTTATTGTAAGCCAGCCTGAATAATATACCTAAAAGTGTACCTTGATTTAGTGTATCTGTTTTATATGATATTTGGCCTATTAGTTTTTAAATCTGTGTATGTGATAATTAATTTTATTAGGAATTATAAGATAAATAAATGAAACTGGTGTTAGAAAAATGGGACAAGGGAAGGGAAGAAAAAGAATTAAGATGTGTTTTGTACATATACAAATTCCCCAGAGTGAATATCATTATTTTGTACTGCAAATATGTAATGATAAATTTTTTTAAAAGAGTAGACAAGGAAAATGTCACTATCATGTACTGATTTAATCATACAACGTTTTTGCATCTCCCACATCTGCAGAAGGCTACAGAGCCCTGGTGAACCCCACCGTGCCCTCCAACTGTTACAGGAGCCTTGGTGAGTGCTCCCCCACCACAGGGGGAACCTTGTGGAACTTTGGTCTGCCTGCTCATCATTGTTGGAGCCTTCCTGAGCTGTGGCTCACTAACCCTCACCATGGCAGAAGCCACACTGAACCATAGACAGAGGGAGCGTCACTGTTGTGGTAGCCTTCCTGACCCACACTTCACCACCCTACCATCACTGCTCAGTGTGGGTAAACATCAGGAACTTCAGAAATGTCAAAGTAAAGGAGTAAAAGTCAATCCCAGACCTCCAGCCCACCCAGAGTAAGTCCAGAAGACAAGGACATAGAAGAGTTTGGAAGTAACACATCTGAAATTTCTGAAATGATAGCAACTGAAGTAAGGAATTAACTCCATCAGATCAGAAATAATTTCTCAGGTTAAAAAAATGACAACAATCATGGAAGAATTGCTCATCATCTTTAAAGAGCATATAGAGTAAAAATTAGAGAATAGAAAAATAATGGAAACATTCAATGAATAATATAGCAAAGAATTACAATACACAAAATATATTCAAACAGACATCTAGAAAATTAAGAATTTCATTGAAAGCTGGCAAAACTGCTTGAATGAAATGGAACATAGACTTTCAGACAGCATTGTGGATAGTGAATGTGAAAGGAAAGATCTCTTAAAAATAACAAGGAACCAGGAAATGATAATTAAGCAGCTGCAAGATGATGCAAAGAAAAACAATAAAAGACTAATAGGTATCAATGAAACAGCAGAACTGAACACAAATGACATTAAAAGACTATCTGCAGAAGTACTAGTAGAAAATTTTCCAAGCATGGGAAAAGAATCTGACATACAATTAAGAGACATAGAACTCCAATTAGCCATAATCAAAATAAAGTTACACCTAGACACATAATAGTCAAGACTCTAGAAATTCAGCAAAGAATATAATATTAAAAAGCTGTTAAAAAATTGAAACAGACCACTTATTAAGGAAAGCGCTTCAGAGTCATGGCAGATTTCTCAACACAAACTATAAAGTCAAGAAGAGTTTGGAGGGAAGTTTTTCAGGTTCTGAAACTAAACAAGTTCCAAGCCAGATTGATGTACTCTGCAAAATTATCTATCAGAATTAATGGATAGATAAGATACTTCCATGACAAAGAACAACTAAAGAAATTCATGACCCTCAAACCAGCCCTACAAAGAGTACTGACAGATATTCTAGAAGGAGACAAAATGACTATAACTTCAAGAACAACAACAGAAAGAACCACCAAGTAGAGCAAGCAATTAAACAGAGAGGAAAAAGGGAGCTTACAGCAAGAAAATAACATGACAAAGATAAGCCAATACATAACACTTATAACCATGAATGTAAATGGCCTTAATTCAGCAATCAAAAGAAGTAGACTGGCAGAGTGGATCAAGAAATAAGTTCCCACAATATTCTGTATGCAAGAAACACATTTAAGTCAAAAGGAAATGCATAAACTGAAAATCAAAAGATGAAAAACAATACTCTATTTAATAGCAACCCAGAAAACAACAAGGGTAACTATTCTGTTGTTGACAGTGTCAACTTCAAACCAAAAGTGATTAAAAGAGATAAAGAAGCTCACTACATAATTGTTAGTGGGAAACTGCAAGAGGAAGAGATAACAATCATAAATATGTATGCACCCAATATGAGGACACCCAACTATATAAGATAAATTTTTATCTTTTGTTTTTTTGGTACTATGGATCTATAAAATAAATTTTAACAGACATAAAAAAATCAAATGAGCGGAGCCAGGGAGATGGTTCAGTAGAGTAAGCACTTCCCTGGCAAGTGCAAGGGCCTGAATTCAATCCCTGGTTCCACCCCCCCAAAAAAAAAATCAAATGAGCAATAGCACTACAGTAATGGGTGACTTTAGCACCCTATTGTCATAAAGAGATAAGTCAACTAAGCAAAAAATCAGCAAAGAAATAATAGAACTGAGCCAACTTGTGAAGAAATGGACTTAGTAGATCTTTATAGAATATTTCACCCAACAGAGTCAAAATACACATACTTTTCAGCTGCACACAGAATGTTCTCCAAAATAGAACATATACTAGCATACAGAACACGCTGAAATAAATGCAAAGGAATTGAAATATTCCCATGCATATTATCTGACCATAGTACAATGAAACTGTATATTATTGACAAAAGAAATTGTCAAAACTCCATAAACACATGGAGATTAAATGACACTCTCCTGAACAATCAATGAGTCACAAATGAAATTAAAGAAGGGATCAGGGAGATAGCTTGGCAGTCTAAGTGCCTGCCTGGCAAATGCAAGGATCTGGGTTTGATCTCCGGTACTACATGTTGCGCCATCCCTGAGCTGTGCCAGCCACTGAAACCAGGTGTGGTGGTATGTGCCTGTAATCCCAGTGCTGGGGAGCCTGAGACAGGAGGATCACTATGAGTCCGAGCTGCATAGGAAGACCCTGTACCAAATAAGCAAATATTTTTTTTTAACCCACTCAGACTGTGTTCCTTCCCTCTTGCACCCTCCAGGCAGGAAGCAAGAACGATCATCAACAGCAAGCAGCAGTTGCAGCAAAGCAACACCGAGAGCTGGCTTCATGCTCATGGAAGAACACTCCGCCTCCTCCTCATGGTTCCCCTGCATCTGCCTAAGTAGGCACTTGAATCCACTGAGCTATTTGGCCAGCCCTGAAATTTCTAATAGTAACAATTTTAAGGACAGTTTGAGTAAACAATGAAAGTTAATAGTCATCAGTTATATAGATTTTTCCAAAGTGGTGAGTATAGAAAAATTGTTGTGAACTCTTAAGGTAATGATAATCTTTGCTTATTCTAAAAACTGGATAATTCTTAGTTGTCTTTTAAAGTAAATAAAGTATAAATTAGGGTTACAGTGATCATTTATAAGCATTCTTTTTGGAATACCAAAGAATTATACTAGCTCAATTTTGCTAAGCATGGTATATTTTTCTCCTATTTTTGTACTTTCAAGTTTATTTAAAGAATTTAAAAATTATTTGTTTGGTACAGGGTCTCACTATGCAGCTCAGACTACTAAGTGATCCCCCTGTCTCAGCCTCCCCAGTGCTGGGATTACAGGCATGGACCACCACGTCTGGTTTTGGTGGCTGGCACAGTGTACCCTGGGTTCTAGGGCGGCATGGCATGCAGTACAAGGTATCCAGCTCTGGTCCTTGCACTAGCCAGGCAGGTACTTAGACCACTGAGCTATCTCCTCAGCCCTTCAAGTTTATTTAATAAGTAGTAAAACACAGTGATATCTGCAGGATAGTGACTGAAGTATATGACTATTAGTATATATCCTTAATTACTTTAAAAAATAAAGGAAAACTTGTCTCATTGCAAAGAAGTTTTATGTACTTATGTCAAGAAACTGATTTCTAGACTGGACGTGGTAGCTTGCGCCTGTAATCCCAGCTCTAGCGAGGCTGTAAACAGGCGGATCACTGTGAGTCCGATCTAGTAGTAGGACCCTGTAGACCCTTTCCTAAAATACAAGAAAAAAAAGAAAAAAGAAATTGATTTCTTTTTTTCTGTTGCAGAATAGGGGACTGAATTCAGGCCCTTGCACTTGCCAAGCAAGCACTTATTCTACTGAGCTATCTCCCTGGCCCAAGAAATTGATTTCTTAAAGAAGGAATTTTTGAATATTAAATGTTATAGAAATAAATTTAGATTAACATGAACATGTACACATTAAACCTAATTTATGTATACTTCCTTTTAATTAACTTACTTTTCTGATCAATACATAATCTCTTATAATTAGAATTCTGTGATGTAATTCTATTGAAACTCATGGGGGCCTGCCCCTTAGCTCAGTTCTTTAAGTGGCTGCTGCAACAAAGCAGTCAGGCTCAGGTTGCTGTGGTTTGATCCCCAGGACTCAAACCTGCTCTGAAGGCATTCGGAGTCAGCCCCCCCCCCCAAAAAAAAAAAAAAATCCTTCTGAAACTCATTCCTAGGGCCAGCCAAATAGCTCAGCGGATTAAAGCAAGTGCAAGCAGGTGCAGGGGCTGGGGGTTTGATCCCCAGGCTTGCTGTGCTTGCCTCGCCTCCAGGGTGCACTGAAAAGGGGACTGAGACTGGGCGTGGTGGTGCACGCCTGTAATCCCAGCTCTTGGGAGGCTGTAAACAGGAGAATCACTATGAGTCCAATCTAGTAGTGAGACCCTGAGCAACCTGTAGACCCTTCCCTAAAATACAGAAAAAAAAACCCTCATTCTTTTTTAGAAAAGTGTAAGTGGTCTTACAATTACAAACTATAATATGTAAATGTTTTATTTTTAAAAGTTTTAAACAGAATAAAAAATTGTAAATAAATTAGAAATGGTACAGAATTTCATTAAACAAAATAATAGGGGGCTGGGGGAGATGGCAAGTGCAAGGGCCTGACTTCAATCCCCGGTTCCGGGGAAAAAAAAAAAAAAGGAATTCAACAATGGTTGTTGGGGGCTTGCAGGTTAGGTCAGTTGTTTAAGTGCCTGCTTGGGCAAACTCAGTCAGGAGCAGGAGACCGCAGTTAGAACCCCAGCTCCACCTGCTTTATCAGACCCTCCCTTCAGGCAGCCTGAGCCAGCCCTCCCTCCAAAAAAAAAAAAAAAAAAAAAAAAAAAATCAACAGTGGTTGTTATATTGCATAATATCTTCAAATTTATCATTTGCCAGCTATAAACACTCAAATTGGTAGAAAAAACAAAAAGTTATAAGAAACTAAAGAGAAGAAAAAAAATTTAAATAGTAACTGCTCCTTTTAATTGACCAGGAGAAATTAGCAGTACAATTATCCAAGCTATCCTGTACATTTACATAGGTATATCTTTTCCCTTTCCTTTTTTCTTTTGCCATTTTCCTCATCGCAGTTGTTCCTTCCCTTTGAACAGATTCTTTCCCTTTCACAATGTACATATATTTAAATAACCTTATAATTATAATATGTTGGTCACTTCTTCACAGGGGACCCATTATAACGGGTTAGAGATTCTAAATGTGCATTATGCAGAGATTTCATTAGGTACCAGGTTTCCCAATCATGTCTTAGAATCTAGGGGCCTATGTAAAGTTCTTGAAAAGTTTTCTCTTTCTTATTATGTGGTCTTCCATTAATGTTACCTCTTCAGTATTTTATTTTATTTTTTTGGAGCCGGCCTAGCCAGCCCTTGTGGCATGTGGTGCTGGGGATCGGACCACGGTTCCCTGTGCCTGCCTTAGCTTGCCTAAGCAGGCGTTTTAGACTTCTGAGCTCCCTCACAGGCCCTTCGCTTGAGTATTTTAAAAATCAATTTTCTTTTTAAAGGGCAAATGATGACATTTATGGGGTACAATATGCTATTTCAAGTATACATTGTAAACAATTCAATCAAGCTAATCAACACATCCATTATTCACTGACTTAGTGTTGTGTATGTGCACGTGCCAGCTGGAGCTGCTGGGCCAGTAGCGCGACTGGGTGCAGGAGCAGCGTGATGCTGGCCCACGACCTGGCAGCGCTCAAGCAGAGCTCAGGGCTGGGGCTGGGCGGCGGCAATCCGACCACTGAGTCCAGGCCTCAGTTGCATCTTCCTTGTCTCCCTGGAGCCCAAGGCGTGACTCGCTGGCCCAAGCTAGCCGCTGCCGGCTGCATCCTTGGCCCCGGGGCGTCAAGCGACACCCAACGTCTGGAGAGATGCGGGAGGGAGTCTCTTGTCTCCCCTGGGCATCAGGGCCCACTTCTCGGGCTGGAGTTGTGGCTCAATCGTAGAGCTCTTGCCTTGCACTCACCAGGTCCTAGGGTCGATCTCTAGCACCACAAAAAGGGGAGCAATTTCACCAGGAAGCCTGAGCCCTCCCCTTGGAACCCTGGGCAGCAGCAATAGAGGGTGGGGGGGGTGGGGCTCTGGGTGGCGGAACCCGCAGCTTGTCTCTGTCATCTCTGGCCATCAGGCTGGAAGAGGAAAAGCGCAAGCTGGCAGCTACGGAGCACAACCTCGTGCTCTTCCACAAAGTGAGTCGGCCCCAAGTGGAGTTCCTCCTGCCACCTATCCCTGCATCCTGGGACAGAGAAGGAAGGGCCCGCCGGCCTCGTTCTGACTGCCTTTCCTCTCTGGAATCCCACTCTAGCCCTGTCAGGGATGTGGACGACTGTTCCATCTGAAACTAGAGCAGCAAGGTTGAGTCCCTGATGGGTGAGACTGAGTTCCTCAAGAAACTCACGGAGAGGTGAGTGGACCTGGGTGTTGAGAAGCCTGGAAGGTTGGGGAATAGCCTCGCTTGCGGAGATCCGGAGACGAGCGAGTAGGGCGGCAGAATGGCACCGGGATGCGGAAGAGCTTCGCGGGGAGATCTCTACCCTGGGCCAGACCCTGAGTGGTTTGCGTCCCACCTGCGCCACCTGTTGGCCGATAGCGGTGCTATACCCGGAGCATGCTGGAGCTTTTCACCAACGTGGGCGCCTGTCTCTGTCCTGCGGCGTGGGACACCCTGGCCCGACCTGTTGCCTACGCAAACGTTTCTTGTCTTTCTGCTCGCACTGCTCCACCACATGGGTTTTGCACCCTCCGCCACTGTGGGCGCATCCTTTGCCTGACCTGGCTGCAGGAGCTTCCGAACCTGCGACTGAAGCCCGAGCGGGCAGCGGCACTGAGGGACATCAGCGCGCTGCAGAGCATCGCGTGGAGTATCTGCAGGAGGCCGAGGAGTGGGACAAGTCCAAGGTGCGTGGCCACGAGGGTGCGCCACAGGCCTGGGGGAGCGTCAGCCCCGCTGCGCCCCGAGTGACCCCGCCCCGCAGTGCGGGCCTCTCCGAAGCCACCACGCGGAACCAGGAGATGATGGAGTCCCAACGGCAGATAGAGAGTCTGCCGTGCAGGGTGGACACCAGCTGCTCCCACAGTGAGCCCCGGGGCGGCGCGGACGAGACCGGGTTCCCCGCCTGACGCCAGGCTGAGGCGCTGCTCCGGCAGCTGTAAGAGTCTCCAGCTCAAGGAGGAGTTTGGATTGGCACCGGGTTGAGTACCAGGAGCTCCTCTACGTTGAGAGGACATTGACATGGAGATCGCCACCTACCGGAATGTGCTAGAGGGGAGCCTGTGGGCCGAGGGCCCTAGGGGTGAAGCAGGGGTCAGCCCTGGGCTGTAGGGGAGCGGTGGCCTTGGCAGAGGGGTCCACAGCACACTTTACCCGCAGGATCTTGGTGCCATCCCTTCATTTGCCTCCTTAAGTATGAAGATGGCTGGTGAGTTTTCCAAGTCAGACTTCCGGCCTGTATTCCACATGTCCATTTCTGCCATGACTGGACTCTTCCTCCGACTGCTGAGTCCCCACCTGAATGGGGCCCGCTGCTCAGGTTTCGCCCATCAGCTGCCCCCAGGGAGTGGGTGCCTGAGAAAAGAGAAATCTCTCGTTTTTCTTTCTGTGTCTGTCCAGTGGCTGAGGTGCAGCCATCCCAGGACAGCCACATCCGGATGATTCTGGCCAGGACCATGAAGACCTGGGATGAGGAGGTGAGCCCTGCCCCAGGACACCACCTTTTCCTTGTTGCTTGGGAGTGCCAGCCTACCTGCAGATCTTAAGTGTTGTAGATGGATGAGAAGCCAGAGGTGTGTGGATGAATCTGAGTCTCAGCTGGTTATACCTGAAGGGGCCACAAAGGGGCAATGCTGAAGGCACTGCCTGTCCTTCCTTGCCCCCAGCAGGTGGTGACA